ATACGGCTTAAAACTAGCCTGTTGGAATATCCAGCAAAACTGGGACTTTCGATTTGGATCGTCATTATAGGTGGATTCACTGATCTCTAGATCAGTGGGTGGATTAGATATTAGCCTTGGTGAGGGCGTCGAGAACGAGAGCTTTCTCGAACAAAGTACGACGGGGCAAGTTAGCTGTGTAGTTAAATGTTAAACATGATGATGTTGCCCAATCCTCGGGTAAAGCCACCATCTTTAGTTTTCTTTGATGCTTATTGGGCAGTCAGAGGTTTCTGCTGGGGGAGTTTTATCGACAAATGTTAAATTTTTCACCCGGACACAGATGATGATCGACATCTCGGGGGCCGCTGTTGCGTTTGTTCTGAGCATTTCCTTACACACTGGTATATTACAGCGTTTGTACGGCAACAGAGCGATTTAAATCCTGCAAATAAATCACGGGTTGTCAATTGCTTCCTCCGTGAAATAGCAGACGCTCACAATTCAAGCTTGCGTTTGATTTCGTTTCCCGCGGGACGTGATTTCTATCAGAAAATCTACTTTTTTTCCGTTCGGTTCCGCGACACATCGTAGCAGACGAACCCTCGTCGTCTGCTCCCGCTCCTCGCCGGCCCCGCTGGAGCGAGGCATGACGGGATTGCATTTTGGCGCACTCCCGATTTTCTCGGTGCAGCGAGTGCATGCACGCGTGGGGTGTCAGCGCTGAAACGAACTCGGAGAGTGCAACCACTCCTGGAGTGCCGGCCGAAACGAACCCGTTCCACGCTGCGAGTGGGCACGCGTGGGCACGAGTGCCGTGAAACGAACTCGCTATAAGGAAGCGTGGAAGCACGTGGATGAACCGAAGCCATGGAGAATAGAAGGGTAGGAGAGGGCATGACGTCGGCCGCGTAGCCTCCACAAGCCATGCTCCCTTGACGCCTCGCCTCTTTCTCATTTTCCTCCTTACTCTCCTCACTTACCATGCCAACGTGACCACATCACGTGACCGTAGCTAGACTTCGTCTTGCTGTGGGGTACTAGAATACACCACAGTCTAGCCTTCGATCTGATAAAACCTACCGGACGGAGCGCGCGCGAGCCTGGAAGGAGTACTTCTACAATCAACCGTCCATCTCACACGTGACATGTCACGCGCACCAATCACCAGACAGATCTGCGGTCACGCTGGGCACAAAATCGTTTAAACTTTTTATGACTAGGCTTCACCAATATCGCAACGTGCCCCCTCCTAGTACTTGTAACCTCCTTGACCGAAGCGGCCGAAGCTGCCGAAGCAACGTTCGCGGGAAGTCTAACCGCCCGAAGCACGTTGCAGAGTCGAGAGACTCGAGACCAGTCGAGCTACCGGAATTTTACGAACGATTATGCAAGTGTACGTCTTGAGGACGACCATGAGCCACATATCATCTCCATTTCTGATGTGGAGAATTTCTGCCCGTCAAGCTGGTGTGACGAAACGGAATCGGACTTCAAGGCGCGGATCCTAAAGCTGTTTGGTAAGTTCTAGTCTCCCTACGCGTTAGGCCCAGTCTAGTGACCAAGTTGCAGCTTTAAAGGGGCCCTGCAATGACTTTTTGACTGGTTTTTAATTTGCACTGAACCTGAGCGTACTGAACGTAGTAACTTAATCCAACTTTTCTTTTCTCAAATTTCGCTTTATCTTAAAAGTTATAGGCAAATTAGAATTACAAAAACAAGCAAAAAATACTTCATGACGTCTTAGGTCCTGCCTTGAGTGGCCTTGAACTAGAGGAGGAGTAGTGAGCTCATCGAGCGCACACGGCTGCCGCACTCCGTGTCGACGGCTCGAGAGGTCGCCACTAAAGCACGTGTTGGATAGGCATAACAATAATAGGCATAACAATAATTCGGCATAACATTTCATTGGTCACAAACGACAGCAAAGACGGGGTAAAGATCAGTTCAAACGGGAGCCACTTCGCGCTGACGCACCGTCCAAATGGCCAAATCGCCAGCAGGGCCCGCGCCGAAGGCCTTCGGAACGCTCGGAGCGCTCCGTGCGGGAACTATAGGGGGCGCTTTCAAAAACGCGCGTAGCGCCGCTAGCGGAGGCGCTGGCGTTCAACAGTGAGGCGCGCTCAGCAGCCTGCGGCGCCTTTTCGCGTGAGAAGCTGTGGCGGCGGAAGCGCGCACGGACGTAACTTTTGCTTTTTGAGCCGATAAGTTGAGGGTGGCGTTGCATGAGTGCTGGGGCAGACCTAAGAAGGGCATCTAGCTGTTCTCCACTTCTTTTATATTGAGTTCGAGACGTTATTAGGGGTAATTTTTCTAGTTGCGACCGAAAAAGGGGTTTGAGCAATTTTCCGAAAAGCAAGACGGCTTCCACCATAATTGCTCTCAGTGGGAAATTTGTTTCGCTCGTCGCTGTAAACGTAGGACCGCTGGGACGATAATATTTTTAGGCGAGTGAGATGTTCACTAAGTTTGTGTACTAAGTGGGCCAAGTGTCATTAAGACAGCAGGTGTGAAAGTTATGGTTTGAACGAATGAAGGAATAAATCTGTCAGGAATATCCAATATTGGACCCAAAATGGTGTGTTATAACCGGGCTGTGCGAAGTGCAGATTTGAACACACAGGTTCTTGGACATGACCGTAACTTGGCACAACAGTTATGATTCCAAAAATAGGTGGCATAGGGAAACCAGGTGGAAATTTGGTTTGGGCGGCGTAACTGAAAGGGAAACGGTTTTGACCGTGAAAGGGCTGTCAAGAGAATACCACTCGTCGAGGGAGATGGAGACTTTACAGGTAGAAAGGGACTAGTGCATTGTACTTCCAATTGAAACAACATTACGAAAGGTGGCTTCAAAGCTGAGAAAACCAAGTTGCCGGCCAACACACGGTTTGGCCGTCAAAGGCTTTTGCAATCAGCTGTTGTGTAGTAATCTGGTTGTTGGAGGTGCTGATTTTCGGCACACAGGTACTTGGACAACCGTAACTTAACAAAACACTTATTATACCTAAAAGAGGTGGCATTATTTAACGAGGTGGAAATATTTTTGGGCGGCGTAGCTAAATGGGAAACGGTATTGACCGCCAAAGGCTGTCAAGAGAATACCACTCATCATGGACGGGAGGTGCACACTTTACAGGTAGGAAGAAACCAGTGGACGGCACTTCCAAATCAGACAACTATACGGTAGGTGGCTCCAAAGCCGAGAAAACAATTGTTGTCTACAAGACTCGGGGTGTCAGCGTTTCCACATCCAAAAGGAGGCTGATCAAAAAAGAAAGCACACCACATAAACTTCCATACTCAAACATCGATTATCCAGTGATTCCAAGTTTCATTGTAGTTTTTCTTAGATTCATATTTGTCACTTTTTGTACCGTCCGAATCTTTCTTCATGAAGTACAGACTGCGTGCCATACTGGTCCGGAAATATCATCGACACGTACGATGGGGACGAAACGTTTTTGGAGGGCATTCCTTCAACGAAATTCGCACAGCATACCCGCGAGTGTGGGATGCATCATTTCAGTTCGAGCTGAGATATGTAGGCGTTACTGGTACGAAAACAAACGCAGAGCACAAAGCGGCAGTGTAGAATACGTCAGCCGCGCCGACACAGTGGCAGACATGATCGGGAAACCAAATTTCTCGCGTCGTACGGCACGGGTCCATCGTTGTCGCTGTCCCACAAAACATCGGCGAGGTGAAAAACTGTGAAACTTCGTCCCCACGAGATACGACACATAACAGCAGTTCATGCTGTCAACCTAGCGCAACCGCACCGCTCCGACTTCAATGCGTTCCAATGTACGCGGCGTGGTTCCGTTTCGCTGGGCTCTCACTGCCTACCTTCGGTAACGGCCGCGCGGCGGCGCGCCGGTCGCGTCGCACGGAGTGTATACGACCACAGCGCCGCCGCGTACATCCGGGACCTTTCTGCGCTCCTCGTTTGTCGTAGCCAGGGGGGTAAAGGTGGGTGAGGAGGAGTGGCAAATCCCGTGCGCCGACATCCTGGGTCCCGAGTGAACGATCGCGAAAGAGAGCGACAGAACACGAGAGAAAGAAAGCAACGTTGCCATGGTAAACGCGGTAAACGCGAAGAGTGTAAACTCTCAGCAATATAAACAGTGATAACTTAACATTGTAAACTAAATTCTGAGCTATTCTAACGCTTATAAAAAGCAATAAAGTCATTACGCTGCATTAACTTCCCTTCTGTCGAAATCTCGGAAATCTGGTGGTTGCGCAGTTTCGTATTCCTCAACCGCGCCCAGCCGCGCCCCACCAGCGAAGCCGGGTATATGGTTTAGTTTAGCGTTAACGCGAGGCCGTACATCTGCGCGCTATGCAAAAAGAAACCTTCGAAAGGAACGCGAGTATTTTTCCACCGGTAAGTTCGTGAATTGTTGGAGTTCACGAAACTGCTCTGATGATGTAACCGTGTTTGGGACCCAGAGGGTCTGCCTGCATGGTCCGCCGCTTGCGGCAGCCAGAATGTATGGGAAAATGGCGGACCTTTTCCTCTAGATTTAGTATATGATCTCTATGGTCGTAGCCTCATCCCACTAGCCTTTTCTAGTATGCGCCGTTTTTTTCCGCCTCTTGGTGGCGGGTATGTCGACGGGTCACTTCTCGTTTCCGTACTTTCTAAACTGCACTTGTTTCTTTTCTGATCTAAAATAGTGAACAAAAACTACTTTCATACATAATTGAAACGGTTCCCGACACTTATATTTTGCATCTCGACTAAAAAAAAGCTCTTAGCGGCTTTGACCAATGGCAAGCTCAGGACCAAAGACGTCACATTTTGCGCGCTTTCGGTACCGCGGGTCGCCCTCGTCGGTGGAGGAAGTTTCCGCGTCGTCCGGTTAAAATATGACGCACTGATATTTAGTTACTCTCTCCGTGCCCGCTGGCTTGCCCCAACCCCAAGAGACGTGGAAACCACAAAAAAGGTAGACGCTTAAATATGATTGCAGGGCACAATATGTGGGAGTAACTCTCGGCGCCGGTCGTTTCAGGATCGCCGAGTGACGCGGAAACCCAGTGACAGCAAGTGGGTGCTAGTACCGAAAATTTCCTCCGACGAGATGACGTGACTGCCCGGGAGGGCTGGAGGAAGCTTGTATGAAATAGGTAATCGTCATTTCATTTTCGCGCTTGCGAAGCAATTCATAAGACGTATTTTAAATTTGAGATTTTCTTTAGTTATACCGCCACAAGTACAAGGAACTTCATTGATTGGGGTGCCGTGTGTTTGTTTTCATATGCTCAGAAACTAGGTAAAGTTTATGTGTTTTATCATTTTTTCTGTGCTGATAAGCTTAAGCTTAGAATGAATTATATGTGTCAAGGTGTGGCGCGGTCTGTGTCTATTTGGAGAAGAGGTGTGTGTGTGTGGGGGGGGGGGGGGGTATGGGTGTGTGGGGTGGGTGGCGGGGAGGGGGGTAAAGAGAAAGAGAGAGGAGAGGAAGAAGAATTGGAGGATGAGGATTATGTCGAATCATTTAAATCGTTAACTCCGGCAGTTATAAGGTAAGAAGGATAACTGCTAGTTACACCGGTTCGGTTTTGTGCCAAACTCAAATTGTGTTTTGCCGCATAAATATTGCTACAATTTTTTTTATCAACAAAATTAGTTTTGAGGCATGCCGTTGACAAATAGGACCCTGTTTTAAATCCCAGTACAGGTTATATTGCGCTGGTAAATTTCCTGTACATAGTGCTGCTTCGAAGATGAACTGAAGTTTATGTCTTCTATGTGTGCATTGGTAATGGCATGTGGCTCAACAAGACTTCACACAAGAAAGTTCTCAAATAGAAGAGGGAATCAATGTTCATCAACTAAGGTGCAGTAATGATCTTCACCATAGATGGCCCTTGGCGAATTGTAACTGGCAGACTTTCAAACCGCACAAAGGCTAAGCAAAGCTACAACTGGATGTGGCAAGACTAAAAGCTTTATAATATACTATAAAGGCTATAGCTTTATAGCCTTTTATAGCAAAACATGCTGATCTGAAAAGCGTTGTTTTTGGTTATTTTGAAGTGGTATACGGAAACTTCATCATATTCTATTAATTTTGGTTCACTGCACATTTAAAAGGTTCGTCTTCGTTGCTGCCAGAGCCAATATAGCTTGCGATAAACTAAATCAAAGTTATGACTGCTGGTGTCATGTACATATTGAGAACATTTTATTAAAATAAATGTAGTCAAAAGTGTTTTTATGGGTTTCAGCACTGTGATTAAAATACAGCAATGTGTTTCGTAAGAAAGGCTACTAATTTGCAGTTTGTATCTTCTCCTAAAATATTTTGTAGATCTGGTGAGCATGTATTCATACTTGAATATGTGCCAGGCATTCCCCAGTATGTGTATAATTGTTTACTAGGTCTGTAAGCTTCCCCACTACATCATTGCCGCCATGTTAGCGCTCCCCAGCTATTGTGTTTCTCATGATCAATTAGGTTGAGATTGTTTAGCGTTAATGTTTGTGAGTCCCCCACTTTAAATTCCTAACAGAGCGCTTCAATGTCCCTTTATTTTTGGTTTGCTGCTATTTATCACCACAAGCAAAAACATCACGCCACTGGGATTAACCTGAAGCTCACCTCATGATTAACGACGCTGCCGTCCTCTGTCTTGAGGTGGGCCTACGTTCATGGGTACCTGTCTAGTGGTTCTGGAGTTGATGTTGCTGAGATAACCGAGACGCCGATTTCTACGATGGCCTCCTTCGGCATCACGGTCAGTTACAGCAGGCGTGAGCCCGAGCCAGGCCAACCAACGTGCTGGCCCGAGCCCGTGCCTAGTGGTCTAATCTTGAATCCAATCACCACATTGAGATAAAGACGTCAAAATTCCTCAGTTTAAATGTCGGAAGTGCCTCAATAAGAGCAGGTATAATTATTAATAGCAAATTTAATGAAGATATAAATGCTGATAAACACCTGCCAAATTTGACTAAAAATAAACAGAAACATTCAACCCCTAGTTATGGTTGAACTAAGCGGCTGCTATGTGGATGTTTTTTTATGTTCGACAGCTCGGCAAAGTTGCCGGATCTGGTTATGCCTCCTGTACGAGACGGATCACAAAGCGGTTCCTGACTGACCAGTTGGGGCAAAAAGTTTTGTGGGAAGGACAAAGGAAATTTGACATTCAGGAATCTTCACCTTGCTGAGTGCATCATAAGTGAGTAATCTCTGGAAAAGTACTGCAGATCGCTTCATATGGAATCAGGTTTATGGAAGTGTTGGTGTCATGCGTCTGTTGCTTTTTTTTTCATCAGATGCAGTGCGGAGCTGCCATAAATGTGAAGACTTCAGGGTAGAAACCATAGTCACGGATTAACTTTGCCACGCACCCGCCTCACATCGGTCATCTCAAAAGGTAAGCCGACGTCAGCACATAATTCTAACTTTTCTAAAACAGTAGAGTATGGTTTGCAATTTCTTCAAAGCATAATTTCTATGTGAGAGTATTTTAATGCTTTAAATGTTAAAGCCAGCAGTGATGTGATTGCTGCGCCAAACAGTGCCAAGGGGCTAACCCTGCTACATCCTGCTACATTTTGCCAAAATGTGGGTAATCTGTGCCAAGCCTGCGCCCAATGACTAATTTCGGTCGCCTTTCAAAACTGAAACTAAACTAAGAACGTAATTGAGCATGCATGAGCTAGGTGGTGCAAGCGGCCGCCCGACACAAAGTGCCCTGCCTCCATCCGGTCTTGCAATGTTTATGCCACCGTTTCCCGTTTCGCGCCTCGTCGTCTCGCGAATCTCGTCTCTCCTCTTTTTTAAACTTTTTCAACGATAGACGCGGGCGTGTGCGGACGCTCCGACGCTAGTGTGCCGGGTGCCAGACATGCCGTCATGCTGTGAAACAAAACCACGTTTTTGCGCGACAGGAGTGGCTTTATGAGCTGAAACGCTGGTCGCGTGACGTCGGGTGTTGCCGTCCCCACGTCGCTGCAGATATGGCGCTTTCTAAACTTCTTCATTGACATTCCTGTTCTTGTTTAAATCATACTCTACTACAAAAATCTCCCTTTAAATGGATACTACAACCAAATTTAGACACTTATCTCCTGGTCTATTCGTGTTCAAGGGCCACTTTTGCTGCTCCAAAACACTGTTTTGGCTGCTCCAAGAGGTGCTCCAAAATGCTTAGGCCAGTCACATCACTGAGCTAGTGACACCTCTTTTGGTTTAATTTGATATCAAATACTACAGGTGTGAACAGCATTAAATAATTTTAAATAGAAAAGTTTTCTTTGGAGTGTTTCTCTAAGAGGAAAAATTTAATTATACAATAGTACCTTATTATGGATTAAAAAGAATGCATAGAAAACGAATTTCAAGAACACTGTGATATTTTATGTAAATCTAACAAACAAAAGTTGGCAATACAGTACACACATCCAGCATGAATGTGCTTTCAAAAACAAGGCGTAAAATAATTGTGGTTTAATTACATCAGTTCCAATTCTTGCATATTTGAGTCACTTCACTTTGAGCCTCACTGTTTTATTAGTTTTGCTTCAAAGCATGGTAAACCACTGCTCACATATTTTTAACATAACATTTTTCGTTGCTTTTTCAGGAACATTCTGCACCACAGGAGAGAGCGATGTGAACTGCCTTAAGTGGGCCTTGAATGCACTGAGCTTTTCATTATGTTTATCAGAAATTTTTTTTAAGCAAAGTATCCTGCATTGTTCAGTAAGTATACTTTATTTTGAAAACCTTATGCTATGTATGCAGCATTGTTCAAATATTATACTTTATTTTAAAAACATCAAGCACTGCTCGTATGTCTAACAGTAATAATAAAGAGTTAATGGCAATTTGTTTGGCACTGCGACTTTTTTTATAGAATGAATGTGCATGCCTGACAGGCTGGGCAAAAATTTAGCGCGCTACTCACGTTCAAAGTTACGCTGCAAGATTGCAGCGGCATCTTTCGCCATGCAGTCGGTGCTATAGCTGTCGTGGGATTCTGGTGTCCTCGTCACTAGAGCACATGTCCTCGCCTTAGACTTCAGCAAATTCCTCAGGGTCGTCGTCATAGCATGTGACAGTGTTTGTGTCCAGTATTTCACAGTTCTCTCGCATGTGGCGGGGTCCACCTCACTAAAAAGAGTCAGTATCAGCAGTGTCGCCTTCCTTGTCAGTGTCATCTGCATTGATCCTGCGGTAAAGCTTCTGAGCTTGATGGTGAAAAAAAACTTCAAAATAGAGAATGTCTGCTGCGGGCCTGATTGCTACATTATACACCTGTAATGCGCCATTTGGGTGTACATTGAGAGCGTGCACTGGCTATACAGCAAATGTGCCCTCTTAGTTCTTGTTTTGTAAAGAATTGGACTCCTATCTGTTTAAATTTTTCTGTAGGGCAGTTCACACGCTATTCTAGCATAACAAGGAGGCTGCTTAGACACTAGCAGTACTATTGTGTGTTGCCTTCTGGCATAGGGCTGGTCCCTATACCAGGGAGAGTAATATTTCCGAGGTATGTACATAGTACATCCACAGGATCAAGCTGAACATCCTGCAATGGTCCTGAATGTCCAGCTGCATCATCCAGATTGCGTTAGTGGTACGTTTTCTGGGGAATCATTTTGCACTGCACAGTACATACTTTCAGTGTTAGATGGATCATAGCAGATATCCACTGGATATGTTAAATGTCCGGACAACACATCTTTCGGATGTTTAATAGACGGTTGCTGGTTGACTGGGTACCATCAAACCAATGTGCACCGGGGCAAATGTTGCCAATTACCGCTCATTAGTTTTCGCCCCCTGAATGCCATCAACCCAATGTGCACAGGGGTGTCTGTCGTCAATTGCCGCTTATTGGTTTTCGCCCCATAAATACAATCAATCCTATGTGCACAGGGGGGCCTGTTGCCAATAGCCGCTCATTACTTTTTTCCCCATAAATACCATCAACCCAATGTGCGCAGGAGCATCTGTTGCCAATCGCTGCTCACTGGTTTTTGCCCCATAAATACCCTCAATGCAATGTGCACCGGGGTACCTGTTGCCAATTGCTGCTCATTGGTTTTTGTTTCATAAATGCCATCAGCCCAATGTGAATTCTCCGAAGCATTACCAATTGGTGCTCATAGTTTTTTGTTTCATAAATGCATATTGCTCAGTGTGTCTGGACCTACAGTTGCACATTGGTTCAATGTGAATTTTGGCCTCATTTCACTTCGCCCATTTCCAGCAGGGGTGCCGTCGCTCTTTGCCCATCGTACATGTACAGAAAAGGTAAACATGATAAGAGTATCCTAATCAATAAATAAAACAGTCATTGTCAAGTGCAGTGTTGAAGATTGAGCATTCATGCTCCATTGAATGTCTGTTGAATGGGGAATGGTGGGCATGTAGAGTACAACCACTAACTAGCTCCAAACACTGAAGTTTGTAATGAAAACGAAAACAATGTTCTGCTTTGCGTCACTGCTTGTTTACTACGCAATCTCGTGCGTAGTATTCAGGTCCGTAACGACTACTAGCGAAAAGCCGGCGCGTGAAGCTCATGCGATATAAACATTCGCCTCCCAATAGTTCGAACCCGTTACGCAGCAGCATTAATTAACATTGCGCTTGTGAATACCACAAGGGACTTTAAAGAAATCGCGAAAGTTCGGATTTGTAAGTTACAACTCTAATTTGCCCGAGTTCGGCTGGAGGTAAATATAATATTTAAAAATGCAAAAAAAAAAAAAAAAACACTTGCTTTAGTCAAAAGTTACGAAGGAAAACTTAAAATCCTATGTATTCTAATAAAAAAAATTGTTGTGGGTGACGGTGGGAATGTGGAAGGGAAAGAAAGTGTTCTCACCTTGCTAACGTTCTCGGTTTTCCTTTATGACCCACAAAAACTTCTGCTAGCTTTGAGAAGAAAATGACTGCCCAAAGAACCTTTTTTTTTTTTTTTTTAGTGCGGCAAGTTTTTTTTTTTTTTTATTTGTACAAAGATTTACTACCTGGACGAACTTATGTGGTGAATTAGTGTCGTAGCTTACAAATTCGGCTTTTACGCGGCTGGGAAAGAAATAACGAAAAAACAGACGTCTACAGCTTGACACACGTCTGTTCGGTTGTTGCCGAACGCGCCGGAGAGCCTCAAAGCTTCGTGTCTGGGACTGACCCGCCGCGCGAAAGCGCCAGCACTGTACGTCACTGGCAGCGCGGCGTAGAGCAACGCCGCTCCATCCACGGAGCCCCGATGACAATTTAGGCCTAGCGACGAGTGCGGGAGACCGCACGCACGCCGACAGCTGCCGAGTACGGCACCGAACGAGTTCACTCGTTTTCCAGTCGCTAGCTTTTGGGTATACAAGCAACGAGTACGGCACGGCATAGCGCAAGCGCGGCGGCGGCCGCCGAGTACGCCACCGAACGAGTTGACGGGTTTTCCAGTCGCTAGCTTTTGGGTATACGCACTAACTCTTGCTACATATGCTGGATAACTACCACGTATACAGAATTAAAACAAAATCAGTTTAACTTCTATCTTTAGACGACTAGCGCAACAGAGGTAGGTGCCGCTTGGACTGTGTACTCGCTGAACGAGAACGATCTTGGCGTCACGTCCACATAGCGGCTGATTTTCAGTGTTGCCGGAACCTCGAGCGGCTAGTTTCGGTTTTGACGGCCGCGCCCCAAACAAAACTTTGAGACGTCGATATCTTTAAAACTACGCACAATAACGAGAAAAAAATTACACCTTGCAACTCAGGGGCGCTAACTGCACTAAAAACAGCCATAATCCCAAAATCGAAAGTATGGACCGGAGTTGCCCTTTAAGAAGAAAGTTAAGGCCACAGAAAGAGATCGGTGGCTAGAGGGAATGCAGACAAAGACGGCTGTGGAAAGCTATAAATTAAAGAAAACAGTTAATGCCAAAGAAAGCATTTATGACAATTCTAGGGGAAGCTCATTGTTGTTTGAGGCAAGGACAGGTGTTTCGCGAACCACAACATACAGAGCGAAGTACCAGGAAATGGATACAGTGTGCGCTGCTTGTGGGGAGGAGGACGAGACGGCCGAGCACTTGATACTTTACTGTAAACGGCTTCACCCTTTCCCTACCAAAGACAACATAGATTTAATAAAGTAGAAAAAATCGTAAGGGTGCAGGCGAGCTGGTGAATATTAACCATGTTGAATTAACCTGAGACTGGGGTAGGGAAGAAACATCAAAACGTAGAAGAGACAGAAAATAGACAAGACGACGTCAGAAACATCAAAACGTAGAAGAGACAGAAAATAGACAGGACGAGACTACTTCCACAAAGCCCTGCATGCAACACGGCGCGCGTTGCACTCTGGGAACTAGTTGGCCAGGGAGGAGGGTGGCATGGTTTCGGTTTCGATCGACACGTCGACAGAGCGTGTACTATTAAAGTTATCTCATGTTTTCTGGTCCCGAGAGCGTCATTTGTGGTCTCTAAACTAACCTAAATGGCCAGACCTCGAAGCTTTAGCACAAGCCCGAGACGTATAGCATGCTTGTTGTATTTTTGTACTAGGTATGTGGACGAGCCAGTGCTGGGAATCTCGACGCTGCGAAGCTCGGGGATCGTGCTTGTGTACGAATCAACAAGCTGTAGCAAGCAATAAGTATGCATACATTGAGCTCGCCCCTTTCCTTTAGTGTTGTTGGTCAGGAAGTTTGTTTGTTTGTTTCGTGCGTCCACATATGAAGTATTACTTTTTGCAATCACTGTTTTTCTTAATACGCCTGAGTACGCGAGGCCAAACTCGGAGGCGCTATTGAAAAGCCCCACTTTAACACACTTCTTATCACTGACCCGCAGGACTGCTCGAAGTGAAGTCCCCACCCGCTTGCATTCCACTAATAATTCAACGTCGCGTATGCGCATAAAGTTATCCTGCAATAATATAAGCACATTCGTACATACAGACCGTTTTAAGAAAGCAGAAGTCGAGCACTTGTGTAAAGAATGTCGCACCGCTCGCCGGAAGTGCGCCGGACGGTCATGAACCCCTCTGCGGTGCGCCAAACGAACGAAACTATTCGAATCGTGTTTGACGGTTGCTGATGGCCATAATATTTGTTGTGTGTTTGCTTTCTTCCTGCCTGAGTATGCCGAGATAATTTCAGACACACCGTTCGGGCACAGATCTTGGGCGTCAGTAAAAGCTCGTCCAAAAAGGCTCAGCGAGGAGTGGGGGACGCTTGTTAGGGCCTCCGTCGTAGCTAGCCGATCTCAGCGTTTGCGAACACGCAAACTGATATCAGCATAAAATTTGAGTGGGAGATATATGATGACACAAGGAAGACATCATAGTAACTTTTGTGCAGTAGTGAGGTCGAATTTATTGCGTTTCCTTAAAGGTTCATGCGTCAACGCTGGGCTCAACTTTGATACTCCTGTGAGGATGTGGCTTGCTTTTCGCCCAATGAAATAACAAAAGCGGACGTTTGGCGAGCAAAATACGTGTAAGGCTCCAGATTACCAAACTTCAGTACTGGTACTAGACGGGATTATTAAAATTTAACTCAGAGATGCCCTCGTGGGGTGAGGCAATGGGTGAGGTGACGCCACGTCTTACTACGTTTGCATACGCACTCGTAATATCCGGTGTTTCGGGAACCAAGGAAAGTGCCCCGGTCTTCGTTTTGTATCGCTCGAGAATGGTGCATTCTACGTTCGTGAAAAACCAGATAATCGATAATTGATAATCGAAAACGCAAGCAGCGCGTTCGGTCGCGGTGTGATAGCAGGAGAGGAAGCTGCTCAGTCGAAACCGAAACTGAGTGGCCAACTAGTTCCCAGAGTGCACTGCGTGGTATTTTGCCGCGATGGGGCGCGTCGGTTTTGGAAGAAGTCCTGTCTATTTTCTGTCTCTACTACGTTTTGATGTTTCTTCTCTACTCCAGTCTCAGGTTAATTCGACATGGTTAATAAAGTCTTTGGGTTTTAGAGACAGCGAGGAAAAGTGGATTTCAAGACAGTAGAGATTACCAAGCAAAGATTAAGTTCATGGTGGCAGAAAGCGAGAGAAAACTGGGTATTTTCCCACGTTACAGATCCCTCGGCGGGATCTGTAACGGATCCTCAATACGTGACTTTTGCGAGCGCAGCGAGCGCACGGGGTTGCGGGCCCAGCTTGTTTACGCTTCGCGAGAGCGTGAACTGAACTTCGCCCATACCGCCTGCCTGGGAAGAAGACACCGCTTGTGCCTGCGTGGGAAGAAACCTCTCACAGAACGACCGGAGGCACGCCACGTATACGCACGCAAACGAGACCTCTCCATGTAATCAGAAATTAATCTAGTTTATTAAACGCTATTTCATTTTCTCAAATCAACGTCGCATTATTAAATAACGGAACGTCAGCACTCGGCCACCGCTGACAGGTGTATAGTCTCACTTTCTTTTCAGTGCGGAGTGAATATAGTTTTCACATTGAAATATTCTAAGCTTAAATGGTAAAACAAAATGGCTAGGTGGCGTAAGCTACCGCCCGATCCAAAGGGCTCAGCCGGATTGATCTATCCATCCATCCGCCCCCTTTCCCCCCCCCCCCCCCCTCCCCTCCCCTCCCAAACCGCAGAGCCGTATCTGCCAAACCTAACGTCCCTGGATATTTTTTCGTGTGAAAAACATCGAGGGACTCAAACCGCTCTCGCTCTGCGCTCTCGTGGCCTGCCGCGACACCCCCTGAGTACCCTGAGCGCTAAAGCCGGAGCAATTCCCCCCCCCCCCCCCCAATCGTGACGCCACTGCCCCAAGGTAACTGTTACTTTTTACTCCTAACGTGCCTATAACTGCTACGATGCTAGGTGGCACAAGCTGCCGCCCATTACCGATATTAGAGGTACTTATTTTATCTATCTTCCCACTGTGTACCTGTCTACGCGTGCCTGCGTACTTCCAGCTGCTTCCAGTTCCACCGGATTGGATCATTGGATTATCCTGGCGTCTGTGCGTGCGGCGCCTGTGCGTGCTTCTTCTGCTTGCATTTCTCGCTTTTCTCTCGGGAAGTTCAGATCGTCTGCTTACGGGTCCTTGGATTGTGGTTTGTTGTATCCGGCAAACGCCGAAGTTCGACCATAACGATACTTTTAAAACCCGTACCGAGACTTTAGGTGTAAAAACTAACTTAATTTCGCGCTGATACGATGGTCTGACCTCCGACAAGCCGTCATCTGAGCTCCATCTAGGTAAGCATGATGAGCTTGGTTTCCCTTTCAACGTGTTTTCGCAAGTATCGTGTATCATCTCAGATGCACAGGCGCGGCCCTGAGACAATGCGTTACACCTGGAACATTGTTCTGTCTACCGCGGTGCTGCAGGTCGCGGAAACAAAAACATTTACGGCTGCTCGGACCATTATAGCCGTGTGACAAAAACGCCGGCACCTTGCTATTTTGCGCATTGCAAAGTGCGCAGGCTAGTTCAGCTTGTCTGCGCTTCCCCACTCATTCCCGAGGAAAGTGTGCACGGTATGTTTTCTCGTAGAATGGGTTTTCGTACCCTAGACGTCTCGCAACATATCGGTTTGAAATATCGGCACTTAAATAAAACAGCGGTAATTTTTTTTTTTTTTTTTTTTTGAAGGTTTACATTTTTACCTGTTTTCAGTGCGAAATCGAAACACTGGGTGCGACGACAAAGGTATCTCATGTTTACATCTTTCAGATTTTTTTCCCCCTTCGTTTATCTGTTGACACATCTGCTCCAGTGAACTAGGCCCCCCGCAATGGGGAACACAGCAGAAGATACCGACGCAGGACTGTGCTTGGGCAGGCGTTTCTCCAAGGGTCGCCTCTATGCCAAGGCCAACTTTTTCCTTCTCTACGGTGGTGAGCAGCTATTGCCCTTGTTTGCAAGTTGTCAGTCTTTATTGACTGGCTCTTCCCATGTTAAAAGTTTCTTTATGTATGGCTTCAAAGAGTACAGGCTGCCGGAGCCCTTCCACATCTCTCCTATACATTTCTTTGTTTTATAGGGTGGTTCAAGTCACCAGACTCAATCTAAAATGGACCGTAAAAGTCGACGCCTGCACGTAGCCATCTAAACTTTTCGTCAAAGGTTTTATTTGCAGGTCGGTTTTTTCTTGTAAAATTACAAAAGCGTAGCCCTCTTTCTGTCAAAAATAAGGCCAAGAAACTTGCCAGGGTCTACGGTGGGCAGCAACGCAGGCTACAAGAATCCAGTAGAGGGGTGTGTTTGGCGTTCGTATTGATAGATGGCGCTACCTCCTTATCGCAATTAATCGCGACGGCTGGCCTAGCAGCCAGGCGTCCGGCCACCGCTGCATTCTATCCTTCCTCTTTCTTTTTTTCGGCCAAATAATAAATGTTTTACTGACTGACTGACTGATTCCGACGGCTCGTGACCACCGTGGTTTATTAAAATGAATATAATCTTTCTGAAATGTACGTTCGGTTAAAAAATAAATGCGAACAATAAAAGCAAAACTTAAGTAAAAAAACGCGTCCACATAACGGCGGCGCTTTTGCTGCCAACAGATTTTGTGTGCGTGTCGTCTGTTATCTTTCACTGGTTGGCTGCACCTTCGGACGCTGCTCCTGACGCCATCTATCAATACGAACGCCAAACACACCCCGCTACTGGACTTGGTCATCTGGGTCACCACCTGCCGTAGACCCTGGCAAGTTTCTTGGCCCTACTTTTTACTAAAAGAAAACTACGCTTTGCAATTTTACAAGAAAAAACTGACCTGCAAAATACACCTTTGACGAAAAGTTTAGATGGCTACGTGCAGGCGTAGATTTTTACGGTCCATTTTAGATCGCGCCTGGTGACTTGAACCACCCTATATAATGATGCAAGCAAATAAACACGCTCACCCATTCTAAAGAAAGAAAAAAAAAGTAACTTTTTGTTTTGTTTGTTTAATATATGTTTTTTTTTTGTTTTTTTTTAATTAAGGAAGCTTACATTGTTGAAAGTTATTTTGAACAAGGATGGAAACGTCATTGTTCGAGGCAGTATCCAGTCTTATTAATCTATTCTGAAAAAGTTCTTCTGATGAGTAATGCGTGGAGGAGGCAGGATCCCCTAAATTTTCTCCTCTCCCTTTGTCCATACCTTAATTAGTTCACTGTTGGGACAATAACTCTGACATATTTCTTGAGTCCTGAAATGATCTGCTGCCAAGGGTCCGAGTATAACTTGTTCGCTAAGCTGACAGGGTGTTAAACTAGCATACCTGCCAAGTCACCCGTATTACCCGGGAGATTGCCGAATTTTTACCATTTCGTACAGTTGTATTATCGGCAGGAAAATCTCCCGGAAAACGCAAATTAATTTCCTCCCCCCCTTCCCGCACTTAAACAAGGAGCTTTTTTCACTGTCGCAACAGTTGGCAGCAGTGATAACAAGGCCCAGCTGTATGTCGCTTGCATGAGCAGTGCTATACAAATGTAATGAAGTTTTTCTTCATGTAAATTCATTGTTAATATTCCTTTAAAAAAAAAAATGCTACCCCCCCCCCCCCCCCCCCATGCTTAGAAAATCTTTTGGACTTGATTTCCCCGAACTTGGCCGGTATGAACTAGCTATGCGCTTTGCCGGACCAGTAAACCGCCTGCCTTTCTTCGCCTGACCCCACTCCCTGTGCCTGTGAAAGCTCTGAGAGTGCGATCATGTGATGGAAGACAAATTATTGTTTTGTCCAATGTCCAATGCCTCAAAACTAAGTGGTTGTGTCGCCCTTATTTAGCATCACAGCATGCAAATACATCTCCCTTTTTCTACACGATAAGCTGCCCTCATTGCCTCAAAGAAATTGATATTGAAACCTCCCTCCTGATCTGATATACAAAAATATTCGAGATTATGAAAACTAGAGGAATGGGAGCACCCATTTTATTCTAAATATGCAGCTTGTGTCCCAGGGCAAGCCTTTTTTGCCCTGACAAGTTTACATGAAATAAAATGGGACCAGACAAACCATTTCAAGCAAGTTATGTCCTGCCCTTCTGGAATGCCATCGTTCGTCGTCGTCCATAACTGAGATCTAGAGCTAAAATTCAATTTATCCCATCAGACCAGCTCGGCACGATAACATTTGTTGATTGTCTATAAGGAGCGCAGGTTCGTCTGCTTCTTGCGCAGAGGTTGCAGTGTCATCAGAACGCCGAGTTCTAATTGGAAGGATAGTGGGTAGACCTCAGTGCTAGCTGCCTTGAGGTCTACCCACTATCCTTCCAATCAGAACTCGGCGTTCTGAAGACAGTGCAACCTCTGCACAAGAAGCAGACGAACCTGCGCTCCGCATTAATGTCTTGACAAGGTATGCCAACATATGCCAGACGTCCTGGCATATGCTTATATGTAAGGTTTTGGCAAGGCATTATATACAGACACATGAATGCTAGATACGAAATCTTTCACAAGACCTTTTTGCGGCTCTTCTTGGCTTTCTGTCCTTATAATATCTTTCTGCATTCCTTCTGTATGGTCCCTATTATGGATCTTTGGTAAAAAAATACTGACACCCCCCCTCCCCCCCCAATCTTTTTCTTTTTTTTTGCCAAACAATTTATTATGGTTTTAGAAAACTAGCCAATCAATATTTTGTTACAGTGTCACATATCTTTTTAATAAAGTAAAAAAAAACACAGCTGATGAAACCAGAACTGGACTGGGGAGGAAAAAGGAATATAGAGGAGGAGAAAGATAGCAAAAGTCAAGTGACTGTGCAACTTTTTTTTTTTTTCAGTCAACGTATTTGCAGTTTTTTAGAAGCCACAAAAAATGGATATCATTTTTTGTCCATTTCTAGTATTGAATGTGTGCCTTTGATGTCCGACTTTGATTATCTTTGGTCGTTGTGTTTAAACCATAAAAAATGGTACGTGACCACGGAGAAGAGAGTGAGCGCGAATCAGACTGGCCACTTCTCAATGGGTGGTTTTCAGGCGGAAAGAATATGAATTTTGAGCCGCAAATTGTGTTCTCGGTAGTTGGGCTCTCATATGTTATGCACAAATAAAAACCTTGACGAGCATAAGTATACTGTCTGTGTCACTTTAAGGATAGAGTAGAATATTCTTTTTTCATTTTGTGTATGCCTAAACTTGTGCAGTCAGATATGGGCACACACTGGTTGAAACACGTTTTGAGCAATGTCATGAGGCATTGTGACGTTGCTGGCCGTTCATTGAAATTGTCCACAAGCTATGTCTGTGCTAAGTGAAACTTCTCATACAGCAATATTTATTCGCTGTGTGCCTCAGACTAAGCAGCGAACAATCAAAAGCAGTACCTAGCTTTATCGTGGGATAATTTTGGTTGCATTGACTAGGGCATATTTTGGAAGGGTGTTGTGCAGTGTTCACACTACACTGGGGTTCCGTTCATAATGAAATAGAAAGCACACAAAAAATCGGGACAAAAAAGAGGACGATACACAGTGCTTGTCTGTCGTGCATGTCCTCTTTTTAGAGCGCAGCTCTTAGGCGCCAATTTCCGGCTTGAGCGGTGTCGTCGTCGGCGTAACCGCACGATGCATGATGGGTAAATTTCCCCGCTAAATTTAGCGAAAAATGTTTTCTTAAATTGGGGGCGAGCAGGAGAAGAGGAGGGGCATAGTCCCCTCTCCGTACCCTCCCCTCCTCCTCCTCAAGAGCTGCGCTCTAATTCGGCGTTACATGGAGTTGTAAACGGCTTTCATTTTTGTCCTGTTTTTCTGTTGCGCTTTTTTATTTGATCATGAACCACTACCAACTAGCACAGCTTTCAACCCTCCTGGGTATCCATCTTTTGACCGCTGTATTCATGCTTTCTCCAGCCTCTGCGATTGTGCTGCCCACACTGTCGGTGTACGGCCGCCACCTCGGCCTCAATGCAGCTTCGGTGGGTCTTGCGCTGACAGTGGCCCCCTTCATCATACTGCTCGTGCGACCACTCATCGGAAAGATGGCCGACCACCTGCAGACGATAACTCTGGTCCTCAATGTAGTCTTGGTGATGGAGGTTGTTGGCCTCTTTGTGCTCACGGCCACCCCTCCCATAGAAGTCTCCGAGCAGCTCGAAACTGGACATTCCTTTCTAACTCACCTGAATATAGGGAATGTGACCAGTCTACCTCTTGGAAATCAAGGTGATGTTTGCATCTCTAATCTGATTGGCAACTCTACTGTCCAGTGCACTTTTACCTGCCCGTGTTCTGACGAAGGTGATGCTTCGGTCGACCCTGCCAACCATTTGTGCACCGGCTTTGGCAGAGCGACGGTTGACTTGAGGCTGCTGGAACCTACATCTAATGCCCTCAAGCTCTTGAGCAACGACTCTGAACTCAAGCAAAACTTGCGGCTAAACTCGGACATCACAAGTTCGTTAGTCTGCGACGCCAACTGCTCCGCTGATCTCTCTCAGTGTCTTGCAAGCACCGAGGATCCCCACACCATTGGCCAGGAGTTTCTGCACTACCAGTTCTGGGTCTTTATGATTATGTTGTTCATCATTCGAATCTCCATCTCGACTGCCTTCTCGCTGTCAGACACGGCCTGCTTCGAGGCACTCGGCAGTGCCCCCCAAGACTATGCCATGCAGCGCCTGTGGGGCACCCTGGGCTGGGGCATCGTGGCAACGCTCAGTGGCCTGCTCATCGACACCGTCAATGCCGCCTTGGGCTATAGCGATCACACGCCGGGCCTGTATTTGGCTGCTGCACTGATCATTCTGCAGACCGGCGTCGGCTTCCGCTGGAACCTGAAGACGGCCAAGAAGTCCCGTGCCGTCCTGAAGAATGTGGGTCCACTGCTGAAGAAGCCCAGGCACTTGTGCTTCCTCCTGGACATCTTCGTGGTAGGCTGCTGCAGCAGCGTTCACTGGTACTACAGCTACTGGTACTTCACGGACCTCAAGGCCAGCAAGCTCCTCATGGGCCTGACGCTGGCGACGCAGAGCTTGCTCGGGGACCTGCCCTTTATGTTCATCTCCGGCTGGCTCATCGGCAAGCTGAAGCACATAAACGTGGTGCGGCTGGCCTTCCTGGGCTTCTTTGTCAAGTTCTTGGCCTACTCGTACCTGCGGAATCCTTGGTACGCCATTGGCATCGAGTTGTTGCAGGGGCCTACTTACGGATCCTTCTATGTGGCGATGACATCTTATGCAAGGAGCATTTCACCACCGGGCACGGAGGCAACCTTCCTCAGCCTCATCCTCGGTGTCTTCGACTGCCTAGGTGAGTGTCTGTCTTAACTGACGCTTAGGCCTGGGAGACCATTTAAATCAAATTTAAAGCTTTAAATCATGCCGCTTGCAGAAGGCATATTTTTCATTGTATTCACTGTGTTCATTGCTTTGTAAAGCAGCGTCTGCAATGATTTGAAGACTGCACAATGTTTTTAAAGCTCCCAGAGTTTGTCCTTTTTTTTATTTTTTGTGGGTACTAAACAAGTGAAGTGATTGACTGCAATACACTATTCTGTAAGTTGGTGCACGAAAAAAAACCCCAAAAAACTAGTAGTCTAAAGAAAACTTGCATACATGGGAGACTTCATATTATAAAAGATACTATTGATGAATGCCAAGATGACTGGTGAGGTTCCATATTTTCTCATATATAGGGTACATTCAGTTAATCTTGCGCTGTAAAGCGAGCTGCAAAGGAATCGGTGCCTGTACATAGAAAACTCGAGTTTTCACCAAATGTGCATTAAAGGGACCATGAAATGACCCTTTTATATTGCCAAATAACTTTTACATTAAACCTTCAATGTTCACTGAATGCCGAACACGTATCCATTTTCGTTTCGGTTTATTAACTTCTACACAAAAAAATAATAAAATATTGACTTTTTCCTCCTCTCCAACTCACCGCAAAACAACCTGCGGCGTGATGGTCGTGACGACCGCTGGCATTGGAACCAGAAGTTCTCTCAACAGTAGGAGAATGGGAGCGTTAGAGGCGGCGAGTTGGCAGTGTGCCAGTAGGTTTTACTGCGCTGATGGCGCTGATGCCACCATAGAGGATGCTATGACGGCTTTTGGAACCTGCTTGCGTTTGCGGAAAAGACTGAATGTGGCTGTGATCACGCTCGGTGTCAAAATGTTTCGAACATACACGAGTGACCTAAGACCATGGTCCCCTTAAACCGATGGGCCTGCACCAAAAGCTTCGACGTGGTTCATTGAGTGGCAAGCTGTGAAAGTGCAACTGTTTCTTTTTAACCACCGGATGGCGCAAACTGTGATTCGGGCACTTCTGTACACTGCAGCCTTTCAGCATAGCGACCGAGCGATTCATCACAAACAATGTAAACACTACTCGAGCAGCCAGAAAACGAAAGTCTGCTCTGTGAAGAAAGCGCGACCAGGAGCAAACCCGTTCAGCAGACGACGCTCGTGGGTTGACTGCGCAGGCGCAGTCGGGTCTTTCTCTTGCTTCGTTTACACGATAGATGACGCTGGGCTCTGAGCCTTATCAAATTCAGTAATTTTCGTCACATCTCTAATTATGCTACAAAGCGTGGATCTGAATATTATTTAACAAATTTTTTAGGAAAATTTCGCCAGCTATTTCCTGTTTATGATCGTGGTGCTGGTGAGGTAGGCGATATGGATTTGGCTGATGTTCTGCGGTTCCACGGATGCATTGCAGTGAAAAAGCAGAGAGCTTTCAAAGGAAAGAAGGTGTAAAAGAGTCCGCTTTTCTTTTAAAAGTTCTGTAGCAAAGAAGTTTTTTAGGATCTCTATTTTTGTGTTTTTGAGTTTCGTTTCACACCTTTCAAGACGTTCGGTGGATGAAGTTTGATTTCCAAATCGTTTCATGGTCCCTTCGAGGTAGTCAGTTTTACCTCATAGAATTTCCAAGAGTTGTTCTCTCCCTGTAAAACGTGAGCCCAACAAACTTGCCAAAATCAACGGCGGGTCTGTTTGCAGACAACCAAGTTAGTGATGAATCTAACTTGTGGCGCCATCTTCTGTTAGGCGCAGCTGGCAGACATCAGAGCGTGTCGTCTGCTCACTGTGCCTGTTGGAAGATGGCGCTATAAGTCTCTTTCATCACTAATTCTGTCATCTGCAAACATGTCCGTTGATGACTTTGGTAAATATTGTTTTTTGGTCTCAATTTTTACAGAAAGAAATCTATGCCTTGATATTTCACAAGGTAAAACTTACTAACTCAGTGCACATCTGGTGAACGTTTTGAGTTTCTTTTTGTGTAGGTGCTGATTTTTCTAGCTTGTTTTATAGCGAGAGATTCACTCTGCACACCCTATACATGTAGTTTCAATTTTCACCGTAAGTAGGCAAGTTGTAAAATTGTGAAAATGAGGTTTCTCTCAGTCATATTCAGCTAAACTGGGCTATGTCAGCCCCTCGCATTCACATCCCTGAGCCCCGCTCTCATACCCTCGGGAATACTACCGTAAAATACCTAGCAGGCACCCACACAAAAGTTGGAGATAATCATGAAAAAATGGGGATGGGTGCATCATTTGAGAGCAGAAAAGCAAAAAAGGCACTGATTGGACGGTGTGATATGGGAGCAGTAATAGGGGTCTTGTGGAACCTCTAAAGGCCCGTTCACACTCTTGCGACCGAGTACGACTGAGAGAGACGAGATTTCTTAAAACTTCTTAAATGTTTTTAGAATGAGGGAACACACTGGCATTGTGGCGCCATCTATGCGGTGACCCTGGAACTGCATTTCACAAGAGCGAAGGTTTTGCGGGATTTCCGAGGTCCAATGTGCGTAATACCCATAGAAAGGCTCGTTTATAACATTGACAAAAGTTTTTCGAGCCAAAAAAGAAAGGATAATGCGCGAGAAATAAAAAAAAAATGTGCCGGACCGCCGAGTTTACACTGCTTCCCAATAGATGGCGCCAGTGTGTTCTCTGGTTTAAGAAGTTTTAAGGAACCTAGGTTTAAGAGGTTGCAAGAGTGTGAATGGGCCTTAATTGTTAAGGCGGCCGCACTCCTCTCCTTGAGCCTCCTTTGCCCCGGAGCAGAGCCGTTTATGTAGAGAGTTTGGCCATTCGTTGGGAAGTATAGGAGACAAATGAGAAGGTGCCATTGGACGAAAGCGGGCTGGGCGTGTTCCAGGGCGTCTTCAGGAATTCGAATGTGGCCAACCAGAAGCCGGAAATAATACCCTGGTGGTGGTTGCAAGAAACAAACTTGATAAGTGCATCGGGGTAACTCTCGGTGACTGAAAATATGATGCACGTGATGTTTCAATCCTGGTCATCCAAAATCATGGTGGAAGAGTGCGACTAGCGGAACGATCGACATAATCCCGAGGCCATGCACCGAGGGCGAGAATCTGCCGTCCGAGCGGTCACACTCTGTCCGAGCGAAACAGAGTTGAGCGATGCATTTGTTTCTTACATTTTTCTGCATGATCATGATCGAAACATCACATGCATCCTATTTTCGGCCATGAAGGGTTGCAACACTTTACTCTTACGCGCTTATTAGAACCATATACGAACATATACCTTTGATTAAGACAGTTTCTCGCTACCACTGCTAGGGGATTCTTTTCGGCTTCTGGTTGGCCAAGAGAGCATGCCAAGCCCACTTTCTGCGTCTGGTACTCGCCCTGGCTCAGCCCACGCCTCCCATTAACCAAACTCTCTGTATACACGGCCCTGTCCCAGTGTACTTGTCTAAAGCTTCACCACTTTGCACCGGTGCATGCCCGTAAAACTTCACCATTTTGCACTGGCTTCTCGAAGAAGCGGCCGACAAAGAGGAAGACCTCAGTTAGCCCAATGGGCTCGGAAGTCTGCCGGGGTGGCTGCTTGGTATGGCCTTTGCATATTTATTGAATGTTTCAGAAGGGAAGAGTGGGCACTCATTGCAACCTGAATGTGCGCTCAGTATTTTATGGCGGTTCCTTGACGAGTCTCAGAGGTAAAGCAAATTTGTATCACATCCACACGGAGAGGTTTCTGCGTGGCGGTGGTAAGCTAAACAAATTTTGTGTAACAAACCCTTCAATCGGTTAAAGTTGTGGGTTTTCCACCATAGATGCCGATTTGTTGGGAAGTCAAGCAAGTTACGCTCCCAGTACTGACTGATGTTTTCTCTTATTCCCAACGTTTCATATTTTCCATGAGGCAAACAACGATAGCTAATGGCTGTTTTCACTCGGTCTCTTTATTCCCTTCTGTTTTACAAACGCTGCCACTTGGGAGACTGACTGCATTGCATCTCTCGAGTCTCGTACAATTGAATCGGAACTGTATACTCTGCCCCTTCCTTAGTGCTGCTTCTGGCATCACCTGTTTTAGCCGAGCAGGCGTGAGCCCAGCCTCGGCGGCACGTTCGGTTCACCTCACGTGTGTCGTGCGCCGTCGGTGTTTCCCCGCAGGTGTGGCCATGGGCTCCTTTCTGGGAGGCATGGGGGTCAACTATTGGGGCACCCGGCGGACCTACTTTGTGGCTAGCTTTGTGCCCCTGGTCTGGCTGAGCATCTCCGTCCTGCTGCACTTGCTGATCACCAGGTGCCTGTCCTCGGAGAAAGGTGGGCCGCAGCGCTCGTCCCCATTTGCTGCGCAGCAATTTCTTTGTGGGATGCAAACGAGACATGCAGACTGTCCTTTTTGTAAAAAAAAAGTGAAAGCCGTTTACAACTCCCTGTAACGCCGAATTGGAGCGCAGCTCTTGAGGAGGAGGAGGGAAGGATACTGAAGGGAGGGTAGACCCTTCCTCCTCCCCTCATTCTTTAATATGCTCCGGGGGGGTCACCTGACCTCGGGGGGAGGGGGTCACGTGACCTCGGGAGAGGGGGGGGGGGGGGGAGGTGTCGCATGACCTCGGGGTGGGGGGCCACGTGACCTTGAGGTGACCTTAACAGGGGTCACGTGGACTTGGGGTGACATTGGTTACGCCGACGGCGACGCCGCTCAAGGCGGAATTGGGCGCCTAAGAGCTGCGCTCTAAAATGCATGCTGAAGCAGGTAAGGGTTGGTTCGCACAATCGCATTTGGTTGCAACCAAGTGTATTGTGCAGTCTTGCGAGATCTCTTACGGCGTTGCCGTCGGCGTAACCGCATGTTGCATTAGGGGACGTTTCCCATAATGACGTCACAAGGGTCTTGCACGTTACATTATGAAAAATGTCCCATGATGCAACCCGTGGGTCACTCGTGACCCACGCGTTGCATCATAGGGTGTTTTTCATAACGACGTCACGAGGGTCACGTGTGACGTCACGAGGGTCACAAGTGACGTCGCGACGGTTACGAGTGACGTCACGACGAAGGTTGCGACCTTCCCAGTAAAGGTCTCGACCTTCATGAGGCCATCACAAGCGACGTCACGAGAGGGGAGGGGGAGAGGGAGGAGGAGAGGGAGCTCGTGACCTGCTCGTTGCATTATGGGACAGTTCCCACAGTGACGTCACGAGTGACGTCAGGAGGGTCACGCGTGACGTCACAAGGGGGAGGAAGGGAGAGGAGGAGAAGGGGCATACTTTCCTCTCCAAACCCTGTAATGCCGAATTAGAGATGCGCTCTACTTCGGCATTACAGGGAGTTGTAAATGTCTCATTTTTTTGTTCATCACCATGTACCTCTTGTAGATAGGATGTACAGTCCTAAGATATACAAGTGGGAACACCCAATCTGCCCTTTTACGATCATTGCAGTCTCCACAATCAACATAATGTCTTTAAGGACTGGCAAGCGCTCTAAATAGGTGTGATGGGCTTTTTCCTCTCATATATTCTCCAACTGTACACTTTATCTTGCAAATATAGTGCAAAACCTTTACTCTAGTGAAATACAGTTCCAGGGCAATAAATGGCACCAGCATGCCAGTGTGTTTCCTCACAATATATCACAAGAGACTATGAGGCTACATGGTACACTCGATTGCTACCGAACGAGAGTGTGTGTGGACCAGCCTTTAATCTCCCATGCAACTAAGGGAGCTATAGCTGTTGTCAACTGCATGCTTTACTTGTCCCAATGGCACACTATAGTTTAGAAGAAAACGGAATAGCCTGCTTTTGTTCATCAAGTCTAAGCTAAGTCTAAATTTTTTCTTTGTACATTATTATAATGAATGCCAAACTGATTTATTAAAAGCCAGTTATTTTCATCCAAGAGGAATTTGCAATTCTTCTGCCAGAAACTCTTTTATTCTGGCAGAAACATTGGCAGCTGGTCTGAAACTTTCCAGGGGATTTTTGTCTCGAGTACATCCTTCTAATCTTCCCTCCTTCTGTAACCCAATCATAATACCTGTCATACTGATTAGTAGTTTTGCACTTGAAAAGTAGCTAGAGCTTACGTCTCTTGAAGCAATTCTAATGTTTTCCAATGATGGCAGACGAAAAGTGGCATGCTGTAGAACCCATGAGATATGGGCTCAGTTTCCACACCCCTGCCAAGTTTCGATGTGGATGGGCATTGTCCTCGTGTGCCCTCATGTAGATTGCCCGTTGGTCAGTCATGCAGTGAGAGGTCAGTCTGCTGTTCAGGTATGGCAACACTGGTGCAGGCTGCAGAAGCCTAATAATCAATCTCAATTTCTTCTAATAACAAAGAGGAGATTGGAAGACTGGTGGAAATTATCTAGGGAGAATTGAATGACCTACAACTAACTGACACAGCTGGGGACAGGTGGGACAGGGGAAAATTGGGACTCCCTCTTGCGTGGCTCCAGCCCAAAAGTCTCCACTCTGTCTCCCAGTGGGCCCGGTGCCGGGGTAACATTAACTAGATTTGACCAGAGGAAAATTGGCGACTCCCTCGCCAAGAAGAAGAGGCGAGGGGCAATGTTTTTAGCTGTTTTTTTTGCCCGATCCCTCAAAGGTAATCCTTGTGATATTCCACACCACCTGGTGATAGTTACACAATTACATAGGGTAAATGAATTGGCGAAAGAAAGAAATTACACTTTTGGTTCTTAATTTCTAGGTTAGGTGGCACAAGCTGCCACCCGTTATAAATGCTAGAGTAGTTAGCATCCATCCATCCACAGCGTGTTAACCGGTCCAATTTGACTGCTAACTTGGGATTTGTAACGTGTATTACGTAGTAGTGCATAGAGCACTATATAGCTCCTTTGGAGCAGAGTAGCGCAATCTAGAACGCCCTCTTTCAGTGACTAACAGCGAACGCCCGGGGGTTCCAACTCTGATCAGAAATGCGTGGGGAACGTGAGAACATTGCTGTTTCTTCAATATTGTGGGGATGTACGGAACTAATAGTTTTTGACGTAATAAAGAAACATTTTAGAATAATTTGCGGTAAGTTGCGTGCCATGTAAGGGCGTAATTTTTTTTAAAAGATTGCCTGAGCAGCATCACGCAGCAGACGACGCGGCGACGTTACGGAGACGTCGCACCATCCATGTGACCAGCTCCGGCCAACCCAGGAAATCAGTCTCCGCTGCGTACAAAAATCGTCTGCTCCAAACGCCATTGCCTTGGAAACTGCCTTCTCAAAATTTTCACACGCTTCCGATATTATAAAAACTTCGATAAAAAGTTTAGTGCTTTACCAACTTCACGACTGACTAGTTTCGAAAAGTGTGAACTTGGTGTTTATTTTTTAATCAGCCATGTTGAGTCGATCTCCATGTATTCTCCCATAGGGCGGACCGCCTCCTGGAACCCTGAGTACCACGTGACTTGCGCCGCGCTGCTCTGTCGGCCATGTTGTCGGCGAAACACGCAGATCAAAGGATTGTACTACTCTGCTCCGTAGGAGCTATATAGTGCTCTAGTAGTGTATACAGCACAGCTCCACACCGGCATAATGCTCATCCACTTTAGCAGTCGTACTCCACTACTATGTATCTGATTTGCTCCTCTACAGTGCTGAGCATTTAGTATGTCACCAATTCTAAAGGGCAGATTAACCTCACTGTATAAACAATGCCAAAGTTTAATTTGCTTCCGCTTTATTATTGTGTCGAGGGTGGTGTTTTCGTTTAGTTTTCTAAGCATGTCCTTGGATTTACTTGACATGTGTGTCGAGCATGCCTGATATGCTCTGTGATTGAAGGCCATCTGCTCTTTCAGATGCTGTTGAAGTGACCATGGGAAAGGAACATGTGGAGTCCGGTCAACCTTTCATAGCCGCTAAGCCCTCAGGCGGAACTACTGGGAAGGCTCATACGAATGAAGAACAAGTATAGACTCGCAATATCTGAGCAGTCACTTACAGCCCCCGCCCACTTTCGTTGTACATGTCAGTGATAGCTCATGACATTTACCATTTTTAGGCACAAGATGTTTTCAAAGACGGTTAGCTTTTGTATTATATGATTGTCATTTTCAGATCAAAATACTATTACAGTTACCGAACAGGACCGATGAACTTGGACATGTTGCATAGCAAGAGAATGATGTGTGGCTTGATGTTCGTAATATGTTGCAATTGATATAACAGATTCACCTGTGCTATAAGCTACATGTGTTCCTTGAAGGTTCAGTAGATACATTGACTGTTTTATCCTTCCAATTTATATAATGCAGTACCCATGACACATTTACATGCAATTAGCATATAATTATTTTGGACAGATTGCTGCAAATGTTATACCTTCATGTTTTTTTGTGACGAGTGTCGATTTCGAAACTGTGTTGATCCTATTGTTTTGTTTTAAGCGTAAATACTTTTTTCCTAATTTTCAGTTTTCTTAATGCTTTCTTGCAAAATGAACCCCTAAGGAGTTTTCAAGCTGTTTGTGAGCATTTACAATGAAAGAGAAAGTGGCTGAATTTGCATGGCTATGCCAGCATCTTTGGGACCAATTTCTGAGCAAACTAGATCTTGTACATATACATAGTGCAATATATTTGTGCAAAGTTGTCACGTTAAAACTGAGGAAAACTCATGGTTGTAAGAGAGACAAATTTTTCTTGCCTTACTATAACAAATACATTGTTCCAGTGTCTTTATGAAGTTATTACTTTGGAATAATTTGTTTGTGAACGGCTGTTCTCATTAAATGGGATTGAACTTCGCCTCGAGGATTTCGTTCTGTATCTTGTTTGCAGGAACAAAGTTAGGTCTTGCAATTTCGCGCGGTCAAATCGCCCACTACACTTTGGACAGATATTCGAGCTTTGTATATTTGCAGGTGTTGCCGCGTTTCCCCGATAACATGTAGAAACGTAGCTTTCCACAGTGTGTTCCTTTGCTTGCTCGTTGAGCATAGTAAAATACCAATTACATAATCGACAACAAAGTCCCCATTATGCACAGATTTCTGCAACATCATCGAACAATTTTGCAAGAAAACTCCAACAGCAAATGTGTGTTTCTAGTGCTTTCCCCGTTTGCAAGTGCGGCAAAAGAACAGTGGTGTTTTTTAGGGTGTGCAATAGTGTCATGGTCGTCGTGTAGGTATGGTGCCTGGAGCGCGTCTCCAACTGGTGTGCTTAGCATCCTATCCTGCCCGTGCATCGAAAGTGGTCCCCAAGGGGCGACAAATGACGTCGCAGAAACCGGAGTGTTCTGCTGTCAAATGTCACGATCCTGGCAATTGGTCGTTGAAATGCTGGCGAAAAGCACGAGCCAACACGAGTGTGGTTGTCGTCGTGGTGTCCCAACTTCTGGCTGCCAAAGCTTTGTGGGCTGCCACTCTAGAGAGCGACTTGCAACAGAATGGGCGTCTGCCACATCATCCACCACTCCTGGGACACCGCCAGCTAGGATCACGACCGACGACAGCATGACACTTGTACGACGTCATCGGGCGGAGATCGAGGGACCAGTTCTTTGATGGCGGTAAACGCACCAGTTGGAAATACGTTCCAGGCACCATAGTGTAGATACGCTACTAGGTTCTCATTTTCGAGCATCTGTTCACATTTCATGACGTTAACCTTTTAGAATAAACATAGACTAGCACGAAGAGAAGAAGGCAATCGTCAATATGTAATGAGAAAAAAAAAAAAAGACACTGGCGAAAGATAATTATATCTTAGCCTCTGTCGCACTTACTATCAAGTTCACAGTTCCTTCCTCCTTGAGAAACAGAAACTGACATCAGAATTTCAAAGCTATTTTGAAGGCTTTCATTGGAGATTTCGACAAAATGACAGGAGCACAACGTTTTCTAAAATCTTTAGTATATAAGGTTTTCCGGCACAATTAATATTGTTTTTATACAACCATGTCTTACCGGTGAGACATGGTTATACAACCATATTTCACATTTTGGGGGATGTCAGTGTCCCTTTAACCCTTTAACCACCAAGTTATCGTTGAAAAAAATGTACAAACTTTCCCAAATTTTTTTATTTGCACATATTTTTTCTTATGTGGTTTTGATTTTGCATACTTGATTGGTTTCTGATAGGTATGGACACAAAAATTTTAAAAGAAAACATTGATTTTTATGGAAACTTTCCCTCAGTGCATGTAAGGGTAATAGAATAACACGTGCTGAAATGTGCAGTATTTATTTGAAAATACGCAGCATAACAAAAGATCAAGTGCCTAAACATTTCTCCGTACTAGCGCTAACAAAGTTCCGTAAGTAACGATTCCTTGGAAAATTATTAGCGCAAGGAACACCATCTCTTCGCGGTCCACCGGTTTCCATCAAGAACCCCGCGCTGGGAAATGCGGGACCTCATAGCGGTTTGTCTCTGTCACAATAAAGTTGGCAAGGTCCCAATCAAAAAAAAAACCTTGAACCTGCCGAGAATGTTTTTCGTCAGTGGGTTGCCGCTGAATCCCAGGCACTGCACAAAACGGAAACCTCGGAGGCGCGGGTGGTGGGTTTTCAGAGTTTACGCATTTCCATACTTGAACGCTACCCAGCGCGTCGTCTTCTTCGTCACTGTGGTCGTCGTCATGTCCGACTCACTTTCAGAGTTAAATTCATTGTCTTCATCGTCACTACTGTTCGAACTGCCGCAAGAGAGAGCCCGTTTCCGAAAGCCATCACCGGCATCACTCAAGCGCGCTGCCATCTCTGATCACTGTTGCAAGGCTAGATGCGTACCAAAGGCCAAAAACACGCTATATTTGCACGACTTATCCTACCCTCCAGTGTTGAAAATTGAAACTAAAGCCGATGGACAAACCTGTCTCGTGTTTGGCAGAGAAAGCAAACCATCATTTTGGCTGGACGAGTGAGACTCGTCATCGGTGATATTGGTACAACCTTCCACGACGAGTACAGCTCGGGTTGAGTGGTTAAAGGGTTAAGGGGCCCTGAAATCCTATTTAAGCGTTTACCTTTTTTGCGGTCTCCATATCTCTTGTGGTTCGGGCAACCCAGCGGGCACGGAGAGAGTAACTAAATATCAGTGCGTCATATTTTAACCGGACAACATGGAACCCTCCTCCTCTTACGTTGTCGGTCCTGGTCAGCTCCTGCCAGGCACGTAATCAGGATGTTGATTCGAGGGAAGGGGGGGGGGGGGGGAGGGGGGGAACGCCGCAAATGACAAAATGCTGTATAAGGGGGAGGGGGGAAGGGCGCCCCCAGCAAAATGGAAAATTTCAACCTCATGGCCCCCCCCCAAGATACGTGCCTGGCTCCTGCCAACGTTATTAAATTACCTCAGTTGTGGATCTCATGCGGAAGGGGGTACCCCCCCTCACGCACTTCAGTCCGCCTCCCATCTTTTAAAGTGCCATCTAGATTTTCGTTTCAAAACTGCGTGCTCTATAGAGCTAGAGTTCCTGTATAGGCTCCCTACGGGAGCCAGAGTTGCGTATTCATCCCTATAGCGCCGGCTTTCCTGCACAGCCTTCGGAGTCTGCTCCTCACGTGACTGAATTCGGCGAATAGCGGCGCTGCGCGTTCGAGGCTTGTGGCGCGCTTAAAAGCAGGACGACGTACGCCGGGGCGTTTGCAACGTCTTATTTCCTGCACGGCATTTGATCCGGCTCCTCACGTGATCAGATTTTGGCGAATAGCAGCGCGACAATACGTGGAAAAGAGACGCGCAACTCTGGCTCCCGTTGGGAGGCTATACAGGAACTCTATCAGCTAGAGTTCCTGTATAGGCTCCCTACGAGGGCCAGAGTTACACATCTCTTTTCTACGTACTGTCGCGCCGCTATTCGCCAAAATCTGATCACGTGAGGAGCCGGATCAAATGCCGTGCAGGAAACTAGACGTTGCATGCGCCCCGGCGAACTTTCCCCTGCTTTTGAGCATGCCGCATGCCTCGAATGCGCGGCGCCGCTATTCGTCGAATTCAATCACGTGAGGAGCAAGATCAACATGCTGTGCAGGAAAGACAGCACTACGGGGATGAACGCATAACTCTGGCTTCCTTAGGGAGCGTATATACACCTTTCCAAGAAACACTCGACCGCAGGGGCATTAAACTGTTTCCGAGCCCAGTCGCTGGGTTTGAGGCTAGACTCTCGTCGGCGTCCCTGCTAACCCTAATTGAGTGGACTGTGATTTCGATAGGCGCAGCCTATGTAGGTGCAGTTTCAAACACTGCTGGTGGCTAAATTCTCGCCTTTCCTCGCTGTATTTTGTTTCATGGTGTACATAGTTTCCTGAGGATTGTTTTTGTTGGGTACGCACGCGACAGAAGGAATACAACTGGAATGCTAGTTACCGTGTTTTTTTTTCTTTGACGGCGCCGCTTGATTAGCAACGTGTCAAACGACAAAGCGCTTAGCTGTCGAAAATAAATTTTCACGCTCACAAATAATGTGTTTATTGATGGACAGGACACAGACATACAATTTAGCAAGTGTTAACATTGAAACAATATATTGTATGTACCACACGATGCAGCTTTATGTGAAAATAACTTATTTGAGAGAGGTCTCAGATAACACAGTCACAGTCGACGAAAGTCGCATCTTGACGATCGGGCGGCATCCAAGATGACTTTGTTTTTGGGCACGTTTTGGGGAGAGCTTCCTTTTTTCACACCAGCACCAAGGCAAAAAAACAGGTGCGACTGACTCCTACCCGAACAACTATTTTTGGCTATAACTGAGAAGGGCTAGCTTTACGCGGGTTATCTCTGGGAGGGGGGAGAACGGTTGTCATTGCTCGCAAAATTGTGTCGAGGGTTGTTTGACATCCTTCCCCTCCTTTGGTTCCCACTAATGTCGAGCAGAAATGCTTGAATGGCCAGGCACTTACTATCAGCCCTATTTCTCATAGTGGAAGATAACAGATAAAGGGTATGCAGCATTCATCAGAAATATTGAGTGAAAACTTTCAAGAGGTGCCAGAAAACGTTGAATGCAAAACATAGGTAGAGAATCGCGCTGTCCAAGAGAGTGGCAAAAAATGTCTAGCTGCTGGAGGGTGTGAGAGTTGCAGCAGCTGCATCAGCATCGGCAACATCGCGGTGACCTAGGAGTGTTTATTGGAAAGGTATATACAGTAGTGGTCTCAAACTCATATGAGTTTGAGACCATTTTGAAAATGTTTATTGTCTTATTTTTGCCTATGAATCATGTGCATCGGTGGCATATAATGGAGAGTTATAGCAAACCGAAGAACCGGTCCCGGTTTGGTACCCGGTAGCCGACCGGTGCCACTGCGCGTGCGCAGAGGTGGAGATTAAAATCGGCTGGCTGCAAGTGCACCGTCCAGGGCCATACCCAGAAAAAAATTTCGGGGGGGTCAAAACCCCCTAACCCCCCCCCCCTGGTTGCGGCCCTGGGGCCAGATAACTATCACCGGTATGTGGATTATCCCTTAGGAAGAGAGTAAAATCTAGTGAAATAAGATGTAAAGCTAGTTGGTAACCATGTGTGGGGCTCGAAAGGTCTGCCCCATGCCCCGCCGCTTGTGGCAGACAGAATGTATGGGAAAATGGTGGACCTTTTCCTCTCGAGTTAGTATAAATGGGCTCTATGGGTTCGCCACATTCAAAGTTGTGAAGATGCCTTGGAACATGCCCGACACGCTTTCGGCCATTGGCGCCTCCTCGTTTGTCTCCTATACTTCCCAATGAATGGCCAAACTCTCTACGTATACAACCCTGGTTCAACTGTTCGTCCGGGGTACGCATGAGCGTACCAACCGGGG